CCATTTTACAGATGAGGGCACTGAAGCCTAGAGCGGTGAAGTCACTTGCCCGACTTCAGCCCATGTGTGGGGAAGTGGGGATCTGAACTGCTGACTCCAGCCCCAAACTGTCACCCCATGCTGGGCCTCTTGGCATCAACCTGATAGCGACATAGATGCCAACCCTGGCACCTGAACGGGGGACCCATCTCAGAGGAACCCCGGACCTGCTGATCATTGACAAATGGTTTTCTTTTTATTATGGAAACTTTGAAGAAGACGTAAATTAACTAGAATGGTGTACTGAAGCCCCCAGGTAGCCATCACCCAGCTCTAACAGTCACCAACATTTGCCACGTCTGTTACCTCTCCTTCCCCACTACAACTCTATGCTGATTATTTATTTTGTACAGTTTTTTAAAGGTAAAATTAACAGGCGTTGAATTGACATGTGTTGACATACACAAATCTGAGCTGTGAATTTTGAAACCCCCACGTAATGGACACCCCATCACCATGCAGAACCTTGCCCTCTCCCCGGAAAGTCCCCCTCATCCATTGCTCTGCTGTGACCATCTGAATGAAAACACATGGATAACAGATTCTCACAGGCCGGAGCCTCCCACTGGGCATTCACCCGCAGATCCCGTTTGGAGAGCCCTGTTCAGGAGACACCCACCTCCTGGCTCTACTTCTGGTCCGACGTTTACAGAACTTGGGCCACACCCAGAGCTTGGGGCAGGGAGGAGGGGAGAAGCCACATGCAGCTGGCGGCTCTCACAAAGCCACCTTGAGCGCCTGTGATCACCCTGGTCTAGGGCAGTGCACCTGGAATCTAGATGGGCCAGGATCCCATGTTCCAGGGCCAGGGTCTTGTGACAGATGCTTTCTAGATCTTTCTGGGGCCTGGGGCTCTCCATAAAAAGGAGAAGCAGCTCCCGGTCCTCCTCTCTCTTCCATCTGCTCTCGCTTTATCGCTTTTTTGGATCTGAGCTATCCCAGGCATTCACAAAATGCTAACAAAGGCTGTCACCCAGCTTCGTCTTATCTTGACGCTGTGGCCATGTTGGCTTCACATTTAAAAGAGAAGCAATATGGGGCTTCCCTGGTGGCGCAGTGGTTGAGAGTCCGCCTGCTGATGCAGGGGACACGGGGTTGTGCCCCAGTCCAGGAAGATCCCACATGCCGCGGAGCGGCTGGGCCCACGAGCCATGGCCACTGAGCCTGCGTGTCCGGAGCCTGTGCTCCGCAACGGGAGAGACCACAACAGTGAGAGGCCCGCGGACCGCATTAAAAAAAAAAAAAAAAAAACCAAAACAAACAATGTGATGAGAGGACCGTCTGTGGGATAGGGGTTAAGGGTGGGGACTCTGGAGTCAGCCTACCTTGGCTCAGACCCCAGCCTGACCACTGACCACTGGAGGGATCTCACCGTTCTGAGCCTCGCCTTCCTCATCTGTGGAATGGGGCTGCGAAAAGCACCTGCTTCATAGGGATTCAAAGATGGTGAACAGGCTAATACGTGCAGAGTACTTAAAACCAGCAGCCACCATCATCATCATCATCATCACAACCACCATCATTATTGTCATCAGGTCAATCCTTGTTATTCGTGGATTCCATATTTGTGAATCCGCCGATTTGCTAACATTGATAACCCCCAAATCAATACTCACGGCGCTTTCCTGGTCACGTGCAGACGTGTGCAGAGCCATGAGTCTATTTGCGTCTCCTGATGCACGTGCTCCCAGCTGAGGTTGAACGCGGCGACGCTCTGCCTCTCTGTTCAGCTCGAGAGCTATAAACAAGCATCCTCTTTAGTGCCCTGTTGTTTTGCACTTTTGTGCTTTTTGTTGGTGCTTTTGCTCTTAAAGACGGCCCCTCCCGTGTAGGGCTGAAGGGCCGCCCAGTGTTCGTAAGCACAGGAAGGCTGCGATGTGCTCTGGAGAAATCGCGTGTGTGAGATGGCCTGCCCTCAGGCATGAGTTATAGCGCTGTTGGCCTTCAGCTCAGTGTGAGCGAATCAACAATTCATATTAAATAACGTGTCTTTATTGTTTTTATTATTTTTTAAATAAATGTATTTATTTATTTATTATTTATGGCTGAGTTGGGTCTTCGTTGCTGTGCGTGGGATTTCTCTATTTGCGGCGAGCAGGGGCTACTCTCATTGCGGTGTGCGGGCTTCTCATTGTGGTGGCTTCTCCTGTTGCGGAGCACGGGTTCTAGGCGCGCGAGCTCAGTAGTTGTAGTGCACGGGCTCTGTTGCTCCACGGCATGTGGGATCTTCCCGGACCAGGGCTCGAACCCGTGTCCCCTGCATTGGCAGGCGGATTCTTAACCACTGTGCCACCAGGGAAGTCCCAAACAAGGTGCCTTTAAACAGAAACACACATAAACCAAGGGGATGTATTGATGGGTTGATGAGAATGGGACCAGAGGCTGGCAGGAAGCTAACCCCGTCTTTCCCCAGGGGTGGCAGCTCAGTGGCCATAATCCCAAATTCACAGTGACCTTATAGGACATAAGCACCTCAGATGACGAGACCTGACTGTATTTTGCTAGATTGAAGTGCTGATGGATTATATCATATAATGTTATATACTATTGCATGATGTGTGTGTGTGTATGTATATATATATATGTATCATACACACACACACACACGGTATATATAGATAGATATAGTGCAGTGTGTCTGCATATATATATGTGATAATGTACAGTGTTGTTTCCTGTAGTTTTAAACTCTCGTCTCTCTGGCTACATCTTTCTCCTTTTCACTGACTGTCCCACTCACAGCCTCTCTCTCATTCTCTCTCCACAGCTGGCCCCCAAAAGGACGCTCCCCACGTCCCCAGCTGGGGGCCCTGCGTAGACCTGGAGTGGACGCCCCCTCCTTCCCTTCATGATTCGTTTGTAGCGCAGGTAACCAGCCAAGCATCGCGCTGATTCCCGGAGGGGCCGTGGTCCCCTGTCCACCTCCCTGGAAGGGACGTTCCTTCTTGGAAGAGCCTGGCTCAGCCACATCCTTCAGCCCCACCCTCTCCAGCCTGGGCCCCCTGGGTCATTCGGGCCATTCCCCCAACCTCCATGCCATCTGCAGGCAGGATCTCCCTCCCCGCTTTCCGTCTTCTCCAGATTCTCTGCAGATCCTGCCTTGTCATTCCCTGGCCAGGCCTTGCCCACCTTAGGCTGGTTGGGAAGGGCAGGGGCTCGTAGGCCACAGAGCTGGTGACATGGGAAGACAGTGGGTGTGGGCGGAGGTATGAAGCCGGAGAGAGCGTGTTATCTTGCTGCACCGATGCAGCAAGAGCCTTGGAAGGGCCTCTCTGGGGCAGTCCCCGGGGCCAGCTCTAGAGGCGAGGGTGATTGGTGTGTGAGGCTCCGGGGCCGTGTGTTTCTGTTCTAGACTGGGCTTGTTAACCCAGGGCCCATGAAGTGTGTACGTGTGTGCATACGTGTGTGTGTGTCCCATGACACGCTTCCCCCTGGGAAAGAACGTGTAACATTTCTGGCCCACATGCATGTTTCCGGCAAGAGGGTCTTTGCTTTCATCAGACTCTCCAAGGTACTGTTCAGAGAAGACCCTGAACTAACCATGTGGGGTCCCTCCCTGAGATTCTTTGTGTCACAGAGCCGTCGAGAGTAATAGGGACTGTAGTGGCGATCAGGAAGTTCAGAGAATGCTGTTGGGGGTTAGGGGTTGTGACCCAGCTGAGAGCACAAGTAAGATTTTGTGTGTGTTTGGCGGTGGTGGGGGCGGGTGCACGGCAGTCACCATGTCCTCAGCGAGTTCAGGACCATCCCCCTCCCCCTACCAAGAAGAAAAAGAGAGGGTAGGAACTCCACGGCCCTGGACTGGGATTGTGTGTGATTTCTCGTGTTCTGTCTGCGTGGTTGGGAGGGAAGGATGTGTGGGCTGATGGAAGGATAGGCGGATGGGGACTTCCCTGGCGGTCCAGGGGTTAGGACTCAGTGCTTTCCCTGCCCGGGCCCGGGTTCAGTCCCTGATTGGAGAACTGAGATCCCGCAAGCCTCTCAGTGCGGCCCAGAAAAGTAAAAAGGAGGAGTGGATGGAAGGATGGGTCAGTTTGTGTGTTTGGAAGACAAGGAAGATGGGTGGTTGGGTGGAAGTTTGGAAAGATGGGTGCATGGAAGCTTGGTGGGATGTCTGGAGCAGTGGTGGTTGGCGTGGGGGTGGATGGGCAAACACAGAGAACTTGTTTTCTCACTTGTAAAATGGGGCACACGGCATCCCTTTCCCATGGGGGCTGAACAAGATAACATTTGTGAAACGCTTGGGACAGTGCCTGGCACTTGGTAAGCAGGAGACAAATGTTAGCCGTCCTCATCATTCCCACAGGCTCAGCCCGGCTCTCTGCCTCAGAGCGCCCACCCTCCTGGTCCCTCTCCCTCTCTCTTCCCTTCCTTGAGAACCACGCTGCATGTGTCTTCCAGGGGGACCCAGAACCTGGGCCCCTTCATGCCGCCTCCCCTCCCTCCCTCCTTCACCCGGTCACGTGTAGGACAGGAGCACAGGCTTGGGGCCAGACTTCTGGGTTCAGGCCTGGCTCTGCCACCTGCTAGCTGGGAGACAGAGGGAGACAGAGAACCATGGTCTCAGCTCTTCCTTTTACTCATCTGCAAAGCGGGGGTGGCAGGACTCACCTCGAGGGATACTGTGGGGATTAAATGAGTTACATGTGTGTGAAGCACTTAGCACGGGGCCTGCATGTGATCAGGACTCAGTCTGGGTTGATGTTATCACCATCGTCATCAGATGCTGGGGACAGAGAGGGAGGAGGAAGAGGCAGCTGTCTGTCTCTGATCAGGAGGTTCTGGTACGGAGGGCACCTGCCCCACCCCTACCCATGCCCCTAGACTTAAGGGGACAGAAACCCTGACCCCTCCAGGGGTCTTGGCCCCAGGGAATGGTCCTTGCAGGGAGGGTCCTGGCACGCTGCTGACATCTAACTTGTCTCCCTTGCCCTCTTCCTGCCCCGCCCCGTCCAGTGGCGATGGATGATGAGGATGGGAGATGCTTACTAGACGTGATTTGGTGAGTAATGGGCTCCCCACCCCACCCCCCCCTCCCCCACCCTCTCCCTCCCCTCCCCTGTCCCTCATCTCCTCAAATGCCTCTCCCCTTCTCTCTTTCAGTGACCCTCAGGCCCTCAATGACTTCTTACATGGATCTGAGAAGGTGAGTGCTGGGGCAGGGAGAAGCATCCCCAGGGCAGGGGCTGTGGAATTGGGAGCTGAGAGACACTCCCCCCTGATTCAGTAGACATCTGCCCCTTGCCTTCCATGAGCCAGGCCCCAGGGTTATGGCAGAGAGTGAAAGAGATGGCAAATCCCTGCCCTCACTCCATACACATTTCCTTGGTAAACAAAGCAACCAGAGAGCTAATAAAGGAGATGGTGGAAAGCACCATGCAGAGCAGCATAAGAAATAATAATGTCACTTGCACAACAAAAGAGGTTTAAAAGAAAATGAATGGGAGGGGGAAGCAGGGGCTTCTCTAGCTGGTGTGAACCTGAGGGATCAAAGGGAGGTGCCCATGGCGCTCTGGGCAGGGGAAGGGCAGGTAGGAAGGTTGGAAAGTTTGAGAAAGAAGGCCTGTGGGGCCGGAATGAAGGGGAAACTAGAAGGTGGTAAGACTGGAGTGGACAAAAATCACCAGGTCATGAAGGGCTTGGAGGACCTTGATCGAGGAGTTCAGACTTTATTCTGAAAGTGACAGGCAGTTCTGACGGGTTATTAAGCAGGAGAATGCCACATTCTGTTTGCACTCCAGAGAATGGAACAAAGTGGGGGAGAGTGGATGTCTGTTGAGCCATGAGGAGCTGTATCAGTCACCTACAGCTGCATAACAAGTTATCCCATCACTTAGTGACTTAAAACAACATTTGTTAGAGCTCTCAGTTTCTGAGGGTCAGGAACTGGGGAGTGGCTTAGCTGGGTGTCTAGCTCAGTGTCTCCCCTGAGTAGCAGTCAGGATGTTGCCTGGAGCCGCTGTCATCTGAGGGCTTGTCTGGGGCTGGAGGATGTGCTTCCACAATGACTCACTGCCGTGGCTGTTGGCTGGAGGCCTCAGCTCCTCACCGTGTGGGCCTCCCCATAGGATTGCTTGAGTGTCCTCACAGCATGGCAGCTGGTTCCCCCAGAGCAAGTGACCCAAGGGAGAGAGCCAGGAGGAAGCTCAGTGCCTTTTATGACCTAGTCTCCAAAGTCACACACTGTCACTTCCATCATACTGCATTTACTAGAAGCGAGTCACTAAGCCCGCCCACACTCACAGGGAGGGAACGGAACTCTGCTCCTTGAGAGGGGAAGTATCAGATAATTTGTGGAGCGGAGGCGAGTGTGGAGTGGAGGTTGGTGGCCTAGGCCCCAGGGCAGGCACAGGAGGAGGTGCCAGGCGCTGGCTCTGGGATCTGTCTGGGAGGCAGAATCACTAGACTTGCTGGTGGATTAGATGGTGGGGAAGAAAGAGCGTCCAGAATGCCTCCGGGGCTTGACCTGAGCAGCTGAGTGGGTGGTGGTACCGTCTCCGAGACTGGGAGTTCGAGGTGGATTGTAGAAGTCCAAGGCGGCTATTGGCTGTACCAGTCTGGGGTTCTGGACGAAGGTCAGCTGGACAGAGACACTGGGGAGGCTTGGCTGTGGACAGACATTCATTGGGCGCTTAGGGCCTGCTCTAGGCATTGCCCATGTCTGCGGGAACGAGACAGGTCCCTGTGCTCCCAGACACGGGAACAGCACTCACGTTAGGCGCCCGGGTGGCAGGGCGTGCCGGGTGCTTGGGCTGGGCAGTGGAAGGAGTGACTTAGTAGGAAGGGACTGACAGTTGTCGGGAGGAGGTGACAAAGGTGACAGGCCCTGCCAGATGTGTTACCAAAGACGCTTGAGCAAAGCCACGGAGGCAGGATTCTAGAGTTCAAGGCAGGCGTGTCGGGAGAGGCTCGGACTCAGTGCTGAGGTTGCCTCGCATTTTAATCTTGCAGCCAAGCCCCTTTCTTTGGGGCGTCTTTTCTGGAGGCGGAGTTTCCTGTACCCCTCGAATCTCCCCTCAATCCCCCCACCTCGTCTTTGTCTTTTTGTCCCATGTAACCCTAAATTGGTTTTTGTTCTAGAGGTGGGCCGGCCCACAGCCCAGCTGACCTTTGACCTTGGGTGGGGGCGGGTCTTGTTGCAGCTTGACAGTGATGACCTCCTGGATAATCCCGGGGAGGCCCAAAGTGCCTTCTATGAAGGTCCTGGGGTAAGTGGCCCGGGGGGCTCGGGGCCTGTGGTGGCAGCCAGTGGGGGAGGGGAGAAGGGGTCACACTCATCCCCTAAGGCACTTTGCTGGGAGGGGGTCAGGGGGCAGTCACTGAGCAGCAGTGTGGGGTGGAGGTGAGGCCGGAGCTGCTGGACCCCCAGCTGTGCCCTCAGGCCCCTCAGAGAAGGAGGTGCGGTCCTGAGTCCCTGGCCTTGGAGGGCAGCTGCTACAGAGCTGGTACAGAGGCAGAGGCTGGTTGTGGAGTTCACAGTGGGCAGGGCGGGGTGGTGCTCCTGAGGAGCAGTGCGGGGGGGCTGGGGGCTCCTGTCCCGGCCCAGCCATGGGTGGGGTGTGTGACCTGGGGGAAGGGGATCGACTGTTGTGGACCTCAGTCTCCACCTGGAAGATGCAGGCTGGGGTGATGAGCAAAGCCCAGAGCGGGGAACACAGTGGACTTTTATTGAGCACCTACTGTGCGCCGGGCCCATTACTCAACGCCAGTCGTCCCTCCCTCTTCTTCCTCTTCTGTGGCCTCTCCCCTCCCCGCTTCGCTCCCCATCCCTCCCCCTCCTTTTTCCTCCTCCCCCCTCTTCTCCCTCCCTCCCGCTCCCCCCTCCTCCCTCTTCATCAACATAACTGTCAGTTACCGAATACCTATCATATGCCAGGCCCTTTACAGTAATTTTCATTTAGTCCTCACAACAACCACAGTGACATTCCAAATAATTTATCTGGCATAATATAAATGACTAAATCCAGAACCCAACAAATAAACCTTATGTTCATGTTATTAACATTTACATGTTATTTACATTACATTACAATAACAATATGCATTATTCTTACCCGTGCCGTCCTCTTTTAATACCCATAACATCCCTGGTCAGGTTCTCAGCACCTCCTGTGTGTGACGTCAGTGAATGTCACGACTGTCCTAGGAGGCGGGTTTGGTTATGGCCATTTAGCGGTTAGGAACTCAGAACTGCCTGGTGCTTGGTTGGGGGCTGAGCCGGAGCCCCATCCTGCCAGGCACTGCCCTCTACTCAGCAGCAGGGTGACCCCTTTCCTGGGTCTGGGAGGCGAGGAGGGAGCAGTGCCCCCCTCACTGGGCTGTTATTAACAACAACATGGACAGTAATAATGACAGTAACAACGATAGATGTTTCCCGCGTGCCAGCCAAGAGCCAGGTACTGCTCTGAGCCCTCCACTTGGATTAACTCAGAATCTTTCAAACTACAGGTGGTGGTGGTCTTTTTTTTAAACTTTATTAATCTTATTAATTTTATTAATTTATTTTTGGCTGCGTTGGGTCTTCGTTGCTGTGCGCGGGCTTTCTCTAGTAGTGGCGAGCGGGGGCTACTCTTCGTTGCGGTGTGTGGGCTTCTCATTGCAGTGGCTTCTCTTGTTGCAGAGCATGGGCTGTAGGTGTGCGGGCTTCAGTAGTTGTGGCTTGCGGGGTCTCGAGCGCAGGCTCACTAGAGGCGCATGGGCTTAGTTGCTCCACGGCATGTGGGATCTTCCCGGACTAGGGCTCGAACCCGTGTCCCCTGCATTGGCAGGCGGATTCTTAACCACTGCACCACCAGGGAAGCCCCCGAACTACAGGTTTTGATCCATTACCTGGTCAAGTATCAGTGGGTTTTCCATGCCATTGGCATGATTATTACTTGTGGAATATTTGCTCAAAAATGCATGCATGTATCGATCACACACTCGTGTCCTGGATTGCCATCCCAGAAAGCATTTAAGAAACATCAGGTTCGGGACCTCCCTGGTGGCGCAGTGGTTGGGAGTCTGCCTGCCGATGCAGGGGACACAGGTTCGGGCCCTGGTCTGGGAAGATCCCACACGCCGCGGAGCAGCTGGGCCCGTGTACCACAACTGCTGAGCCTGTGTGCCACAGCTGCTGGAGCCCGCCCATCTAGATAGAGCCTGCGCTCCGCAACAGAAGCCACTGCAACAAAAACCCAATGCGGCAAGCAAGCAAACAATCAGTCAATCAATCAATCAGTCAGGCTCACATTGCGCTGGGCACCAAGTGAGGCTCCCGTCCGGTAGCTGCTGCCTTTAACAGAACCACACGATCTTTTATCTGAAACCTTTGGAGCCAGGCTTGTTTTGGAATTCAGGGTTTTTCAGATACTGGAAAGGTGATGCAGAATATGTGTGTGCTGCATGTAACATAACACACTCACTTTTCTGTGGTCAGACTTAAAGTGAGTCACGTTACATGGATGAATTATGCCTTTCCCCCAGAGCATCACCTGAGTTCCGTTCAGGATTTACAGCCTAAAGTTAGCAAAACATTTGCGGTTTTCAGAGCCTTTCGGGTTTTGGAATTGCAGATAAGTATTACAGGCCTGTATGGCTGTTTAGAAAATGGTTTTTATTACATTCTGCTGACGTGCGCAGATGGGGAAACAGGCTGGATTAAGCAAGCACCAGGTTGCCCAGCCCAGCCCTGGCAAAGCTGGCATTTGAACCCGGGTCCAGCCACTTCTAGGTGGAAGGTTCTTCCTATCCCTGCCGCCCTGACTCCGAGTGCCCTTTGCTTCCGCGGTGCCGAGCCCAGCCCCTTGCTAACCTCGGCTCTCTCCTTCACACCTTACCTGCCTCCAGCTCCACGTGCAAGAAGCTTCTGGCAACCACTTGAACCCAGAACCCAGCCAGCCGGCCCCCAGCGTGGACCTCGACTTCCTGGAAGATGATATCCTGGGCTCACCGGCGGCAGGGGGCGGGGGCGGCGGGGGCGCCGACCAGCCCTGTGACATCCTCCAGCAGAGCCTCCAGGAGGCCAACATCACCGAGCAGACACTCGAAGCCGAGGCCGAGCTGGACCTGGGCCCCTTCCAGCTGCCCACGCTGCAGCCTGCGGATGGCGGGGCTGGCCCAGCGGGGACCGGAGCAGCTGCCGCCGTGGCCACGGGGCCCCAGGCCCTCTTCCCGGGTGGGGCTGACCTGCTGGGGCTGCAGGCCCCGCCCACCGTGCTGACCCACCAGGCCCTGGTGCCGCCCCAGGATGTGGTCAGTAAAGCCCTCAGTGTCCAGCCCTTCCTGCAGCCCGTGGGCCTGGGCAACGTGACCCTGCAGCCCATCCCAGGCCTTCAGGGCCTGCCCAATGGCAGCCCCGGGGGCGCCGCGGCGGCTACTCTCGGCCTGGCTCCCATCCAGGTGGTGGGCCAGCCCGTCATGGCGCTCAACCCACCCACCTCCCAGCTCCTGGCCAAGCAGGTGCCCGTCAGCGGTTATCTGGCCTCGGCAGCTGGCCCTTCAGAGCCAGTGACCCTGGCATCGGCCGGCGTCTCGCCGCAGGGGGCTGGCCTGGTCATCCAGAAGAACCTCCCTGCTGCCGTGGCCACCACGCTCAACGGGAACTCGGTGTTCGGAGGGGCGGGAGCTGCCACGGCCGCGGCCAGCGGGGCGCCCTCGGGACAGCCGCTGGCGGTGGCCCCGGGCCTCGGCACGTCACCACTGGTTCCGGCGCCCAACGTGATCCTGCACCGCACGCCCACGCCCATCCAGCCCAAGCCTGCCGGCGTGCTCCCCCCCAAGCTCTACCAGCTGACACCCAAGCCGTTCGCCCCCGCGGGCGCCACGCTCACCATCCAGGGCGAGGCAGGGGGCCTCCCACAGCAGCCCAAGGCCCCCCAGAACCTGACTTTCATGGCGGCAGGCAAGGCCGGCCAGAACGTGGTGCTGTCAGGCTTCCCGGCGCCCGCCCTGCAGACGAACGTCTTCAAGCAGCCGCCCGCCACCACCACGGGCGCGGCCCCGCCGCAACCCCCCGGGGCCCTGAGCAAGCCCATGAGCGTGCACCTCCTGAATCAAGGCAGCAGTATCGTCATCCCCGCCCAGCACATGCTGCCAGGCCAGAACCAGTTCTTGCTGCCCGGCACGTCGGCAGTCCAGCTCCCCCAGCCGCTCTCGGCCCTGCCGGCCAACGTGGGCGGGCAGATCCTGGCGGCTGCAGCCCCCCATGCGGGCGGACAACTCATCGCCAACCCCATCCTCACCAACCAGAACCTGGCGGGCCCGCTGAGCCTGGGCCCTGTGCTGGCCCCCCACTCTGGGGCCCACAGCGCAGCCCACATCCTCTCGGCAGCTCCCATCCAGGTGGGCCAGCCAGCGCTCTTCCAGATGCCCGTGTCGCTGGCCGCGGGCAGCCTGCCCACACAGAGCCAGCCGGCACCCACTGGCCCCGCCGCCACTACCGTCCTCCAGGGGGTCACTCTGCCCCCCAGCGCCGTGGCTATGCTCAACGCCCCCGACGGTCTGGTGCAGCCCGCCACCCCAGCCGCCGCCTCCGCTGGGGAGGCCGCGCCTGTCCTCGCAGTGCAGACGGCGCCCCAGGCGTCCCCCGCGGTCAGCACGCCGCTGCCTCTGGGCCTCCAGCAGCCACAGGCACAGCAACAGCAGCAGCCCGCACAGGGCCCCGCCCCGCAGGCCGCCCCAGCTCAGGCCTCCACCCCCCAGCCCAGCCCAGGCCTGGCGTCCAGCCCGGAGAAGATTGTCCTGGGGCAGCCGCCCTCTGCCCCCACCACGGCCATCCTCACTCAGGACTCCCTGCAGATGTTCCTGCCCCAGGTAACCAGGGCTGCCGGGCAGGGGAGGGGACGGCGAGGGCAAAGGCAGGGGCAGGGGGTCTGCGTGGAGAGGGGCCAAGAGCTGGAACCAGGTGTGGTTGAAACAGCGGGTGGGAGGGCCCTGTGGGTTAGGGAGAGCGTCTCAGACGTGGCCCCCCTGCTCCAGGTCCCCGAGGAGGAGGCCTGAGGGTGACAGGGCCAGCTGACTGACACAGAGACAGACAGACAAGGAGAGTGACTGGCTGACAGACTGCCCACTTGCTGGAGGGTTGGAGAGGGGTCACACAGAGAGAGTGGCTGAGACATGGACGGACAGACGGGGCAGGAGAGATGCACATTGGGGTGGAGCTGGAAGACGACTCACGGGACTGAGGGTTCGGAGCTGCCCCGGGTTGTGGCCTCCTGGACCCTGGGGCTCCCTCCCAACCCCCGGCCTTGGTGCCCCCCAGCCGGTTCCCACCACCCGCTTCCCTGGTGCATCAGTGGGGGCGGGGTGTCAGGGTGGGGAGGCTGCGGGTCCGTGGGGATGGCCTCTGACCCTGTGCGGGCTGCCTGTTTCAGGAGAGGAGCCAGCAGCCCCTCTCCACAGAGGGCCCCCACCTCTCCGTGCCCGCCTCGGTCATAGTCAGCGCCCCGCCTCCCGCCCAAGACCCAGCCCTGACCACCCCCGTCACCAAAGGAGCTGGCCTTGGCCCTCAGGCCCCCGACAGCCAGGCCTCCCCGGCGCCGGCCCCCCAGGTAGACGAACCCCAGCGGCCTCTGTCCCAGCGCAGACCAGCCCTGCCCCTTGCCCCGCTTCCCCGTTCCCTCCGCTCGCTCCCTGGCTGCCCTGCCTGCCTCTCTGTCTCGCTGGCTTGGGAAACGGTGCTCTCCTTGGCTCCCCAGATGTTTCCTGAGGGTCTCCGGACAGTCATGGATGCTTGAGACCACACTCTAGTCAGGGACACAAGATCCACACAGCAGGAAATGGATTAGGTCCTCGAATGATCATTTTCCTATCTGGGTAACTAATATTCAGGTAGCTCACATTTTAAGGAAGATACCAAGAGGTCTAGATCAAAGCCCCCTCTCCTGCTTTCCCTCCCAAGGCAGTTTCTTGCACTCCTGTCCCACGCATAGACGAGCAAAATGACAACTGGATTCCTTCCCTTCCATTTTTACCAAAGTGATAGCTACTCTGCATGCATTCTGCACCTTTTACTATTTAAAAGTTCATCTTGGAGACTGCATTTCATTCTTGCATAGTATTCCATTGTGTGGAGGTGCTACTATTTATTTAATCAGTTGTTGGGAATTTAGGTCACTTTTGGTCTTTAGCTGTGGATGAGCAAGGTTGCAAAGAAGAACTCTACATATGTCTCTTTGTAGGATAAGTTCTTTAAAAGGAAATTGCCAGGTCTAAGAGCAAATGTATTTGTAGTTTTGACAGATATTGCCAAATTGCTCTGGAGTGTAAATTGGTTTAACAGATTATCAGCAATATATGATCTGTGCCTTTTTGCCCCCACCCTCAGCAATATTGAACTTGGCCAATCAGATAGGTGAAAATAGTATCTTGTTTTGTTTTAATATGCATTTTGTTTTACGGTAAATGAGGCGGGGCAGGTTTTTATAGATTTAGAGCTATTTGTGTTTTCCTTTCTACGGAATTGTCTGTTCATATCCTTGGCCATTTTCAAATTTGGGGTAATGGTCATTTTCTTGTTGATTTGTAGAAACTCTTTACATATTAGAGAAATTAGCCGTTGTCTCATATGAGTCATTAGCACATCAGCATTTGAGAGGATGGATGTTGTACTCCTTTGAAAAGGACCAGTGGGTAGGTGGATTAGGGTAGGCAGGAAGAGAAGGGAATAACATAAGCGAGGTCCAGGAAGGCAGAAATCAGCTGGGCCTTGGCCTTAAACAGCCATGATTTCATTCTCACGCTCTGCTACTCACCATGTGACTTGAAGCAACTAGTTTCTTCATTCCATCAACAGTTGTTTAGGGAAAGGGGTGCACTACATATGTGTCAGGCCTCGTGCTAACCCTGGGCGAGTCCCTGTAACTGCCGAGCCTTGATTTCCTCATCTGGAAAATGGGAATAATAGTTTCTTTATAGGTCTGTTAGGACAAATAAACCAGTTAATATGTGCTTTGCACAGGGTAAGCACTCCATAAATATTTGCTATTATTATTATTTTAGCTATTGTGTTTATGGGTCAGTCCAGAGGGACATGGGGCCAGGATGTCCTCAGGTCATCTCTACCCAGAGAGGAAAACGAGGCAGGAGTAGGGGAGGGGCGAGGGGCCGCCTGGCCCATGAGAGGCTCAGGTTGGAAGCACTGTATTTAGAGCGGTTGGACCGGGCCTGGGTCCCTGGGGCCAAGGGCAGTCCCCTCTCCGAGCCTCACGAGCTCCCGTCCTCAGCTGGAACGTGGGGCTGGTAGGAGCCCTTTTTCCAAGTGCTGTGGTTGAGAGCCAGGCCAGGGCACATGTGTACTCTGCCACTTTAATGTTGCACACCCTGCAGGTACTTGTCTAGACTCGCTCCTTGGGTGACCAACCAGCCCAGTTTACCCAGTACCGAGGAGGATCTCGGGAGACGGAACTTTCAGTTTTAAAACTGAGACGGTCCCAGACAGACCAGGACAAGTGGGTCACCTTCCTGACTCCTCCTGGCCCTCCCTTGCCACCTTCCCTGCTTTGCATTTCTCCATAGCACTGACCACCCTCTGACCAGGCTGCCTGTTTTCCGTTTCCTGTCTTCACTATAACGTAAATGCCTCTCTGTAACGTATACTCTGCACTGTAACGTAAAGTCCACGAGGCAGAGAGTTGTGTGCGTTCAGGTCCTGCTGTCTCCCCAGCGCCCAGAACAGTGCCTGGTCTGCAGCAGATGCTTGGTGAGCATTTGTAAAATAAATGAATGCAGGAAGGAACCCAGCCACACATATGAGCACCCGCCCGGTGCTGAGCAGCCCCACCGTGAGAGCAAAGGGAGAGCCATTACCGATGGGCACTACGTGTGCCTTGAAAACCACTGTCCCGGAGAACTGTTGTTAGGGGAAGTTAGGAACAGGGACTCGGCTCCCGACCCTGCCACTTACAGGCTCTGTGACCTCCAGCAAGTCCCTTACCGCTCTGTGCCTCAATTTCCTGACCTGTCAAACGAGGAGGATGATAGCGGCATCTTTTTCATAGGCTGCTGTGAGGGGTAAATAAGTTAATGGACGTAAAGTGCTTGAACAGGGCCGGGCATGTTGAAAGTCCTGCAAGCGTGAAAGAAGCCGGGTGAATTTTCCATGAAGGGCCAATAGGAAACATTTTAGGCTTTGCAGGTCTCTGTCATTATAGCCTAGCAGCAGTTCTAGATCTAGATTCTAGATAAATGAATGAGCGTGGGCGTGTTCCAATAAAACCTTATTTATGGACACTGAAATTTGAATCCCCTGTCAGTGTCCCAAGTCAGAAAATATTCTTCTTTTGACTTCTTTTCAACCATTTAAAAATGTGTAAAAACTATTCTTAGCTTGCGGGCCATACAGAATGGTCGGCTAAGCGGGTGGCAGGCCAGATTTGGCCTCTGGGCCATAGTTTGCCAACCCTTTTGATGTCTTTATTTCATTTCGTAGACACTCAAGGCTTCATTTATTCAGTCTCCTATTCATGAATACTTAAGGTGGTTTCCCGTGGCATTGGTAACAAACCACACTCCCCTACGTATTCTTGTATCAGGCTTTGCACATGCATGAGAATACCCGTAGGGGTAAATTTCTAGAAATAGAATTGCTGGACCGGAGGGTATACAGTCGGCCCTCCATATCCACAGGTTCTGCATCCCCGGATTCAGCCAACTGCGGATCAGAATACTGCTCAGACAGCTATTTACATAGCATTTACATTGTATTAGATATTATAAGCAATCTAGAGATGATTTAAAATATACGAGAGGATGCGCATAGGTTATATGCAAACGCTGTGCCATTTATATAAGGGACTTGAGCATCCCTGGATTTTGGTATCCGAGGGAGTCCTGGAATCAATCCCCGTGGATACAGAGGGTTGACTGTAAGTGCTTCCCAAGCATGTTATGGACCAAACCGGTTGCTCCTCTGTGAGGTCTGTGCCAGTGAAGGCCTTCTCCCACACCTTCCTCAAGCCCAGATCAGCAGCCGACTCACTGCTGGCCAGGCGGAAAAAGGCACTCCTCCTCCTTCGCTTCTCTCTCATTCTCTGCGTCAGTCGAGCATCTTCCCATCTCCTCACGGGCAGTTGGAATCTCTCAGTAAACAGTCCACTCATGTGGGAGCTTAAAAAAAAAAGTGATTATAAAAGTAATTTCATGCTTCTTTAGAGAATTTAGAAAATACAGAAAAGAACCAAGAAGAAAAACAAATCACCCATAATGCCAGCCTGCAGACGCCGCCGGTAACATTTTTGGTGTGACGTTTCCTTTCGGCCTTGTTTTTTTTTCTTCTCATCCATTTAAAACATTTGTCCTTTTGACATTAGGTGTTATAGTCACATGGTTCAATCATGAAGAGGCATTTTTAAAGTACGGGGAAAAGCATCCCACCCCATGCCTGCATTCCCAGCCCCCGGCCCTTCCCCCTAGCCTCAGCACTTACTTTTTGTATCTCCTTCCAGCTCTGTGTATATACAGCCTCGTGCAAATACGGGTTTGCATTTCTCTCTCTCCAGCAGGTAGCACGTTATCCGCTTACTTGGGCAGCACATGGGGAGTTTCCTTGGTCCTTTGTTACAGTGGAGAAGCATTCCTCTGTACAAATAGGGATGGATGAGCGTTCATCCCCGGAAGTGCTGTCCTGATGCACGATGGACCACGTCCAGGCTTTGGTCCTCCACACAGAGCTGCAGTAAACAACTCATCCACCTGTCATTTCCCACATGTGCAGGCGTATCTCTCTGGTCACTTCCTGGAAGCCTGTTCGCTGGTTCAAAGCACAGGTGCACTTAGAATTTGCACAGCTGCTGCTGAATTGCATTCCTCTGAGGCTGTGGCAAATGGTGCCAGTTTAGACCCCCAAAGGCAATGCACGAGTGTCTTTATTAGACATACGGCTTATTCCTAATGCGATGCCTGAACATGGTTCCATAGGGTGTTTTGATTTGCGTCTCTCTTATTACAAGTGAGGTTGAACATCTCTTGAAATATTTCAGCCTTTTGTGTTTCTTTTTCTGCGCACTGTCTGATCATCTCCTTTGCCCCTTTTTTCTCACTGCTTGTTATTCTTTGTGATTTCTAGAGGCTCTTTGTATATGAGAGAGATGAGCTTTGTGTAGGCTGTGAGTTGCAGCTCTTTCCCCCAGTATGTCATTTGGTTTTTGACTTGGTTTGGGGGGAGTGTGTGAGTATTTATCTCTGTATTTTTAATGAGGATGAGATTCCTTTTTTAATTTTTAAACTTTTTTGGTTACTTTTAAACTTTTCTCTTCTTTCTTTCTTTTTTTTTTGGCTGCACCATGCGGCTTGTGGGATCTTAGTTTGCTGACCAGGGATTGAACCCGTGCCCTTGGCAGTGAAAGCACGGAGTCTTAACCACTGGACCGCCAGGGAATTCCCTAAACTTTTCATTTTAAAATCATTTCAAACATACAGCAAATTTATAAAACTAGTACATGGGAATAATACTCGTGAGAGTTCTTTACTCTCTGACCAGATGTATTAGTTGTCTATTGCTGTGTAACAAATTACCACCACCACCACCGCCCCCCGCCCCACAAATGTAGCAGCCTGAAACAACAGACATTAACTTATCTCACATGGTTCCTAAGGATCAGGAATTGGAAGCAGATTAACTGGAAGGTTCTGGCTCATGATCTCTTAGGAGATTATAGTCAAGGTGATATGAAGGCTTGACCCGGCTGGAGAATCTGCTTCCAAGATGGTGCGCTCGTGCAACTGCTGGCAGGAGGGAGGGCCTATGTAGAGACGAACTGAGGGTGAGGCCTCTCCGAAGGGTAGCTCATAACATGCTCTACAGTTGGCTTCCCCCAAGTGCCTGATCCAACAGAAAGAGAGCAAGAGAGCACCCAGGATAGAAGCCACAGTCTTTTTTATAGTATAACCTAATCTTGGAAGTGACGTGTGGTCACTTCTCCTGAGTTCTCTTGGCCACTTTTGACCAGAGACCAACCCTGATACAATGTGGGAGACTGAATACAAGGAGGTGGGGATCGCTGGGGGCCGTCTCAGAAGCTGGCTGCCCCGCCACATTTACCCACTGTAAATATCTGGCTGCGTTCGCCTTAGCTGTAGCCCTCTCAGCATGTATACATTTTTTTTTTTTTCCTGACTCATTTGAGAGTAAATTGCAGACGTCATGCTTCTTTACCCCTTAATATTTTAGCATAGTATTTCAGCCCTTGAGAATAAGAACATTCTCTTATTCGATCACAGCAGAGTTATCAAATTCCGCAAATCTAGCCGTGAGACAATACTGTTAGCAAATCCACTGTTCATAATGCAGTCTAGCCAGTTGTCCAGTGATCGCGCATCAGGGATCATTCTCCTTATCTCACTTAGCATCTGGCACGTCTGTGTTGCCATTTCACCAAGCCCTCGGAAGCCTGTGCTTGGGGGGGTGGGGGGAAGTGTCGAGTGGGCCGGCTCCCTTCACCCTTACTCACTTTAGCTGCTCACCTGCTGCTGCCATTGGGTTTCTTCTCCTATTTTCTCTATTGTAAATAGTCCCACGGTGGCCAGCCCTGTGAGCATGCGCCTGAATGCTCCTTATCACAGATTCCTGGAGGGGGGATTACCAGGTCAACTCGAGGGTCTTTCAAAACCACCAGATCAAACCGCCTTCCAGAGGGTTGTCCAGGTGACAATCTCACCAGCCCCTTGAGAGCCAAGGTCCAAGCTTCTGATACCTCCTTAGAGGTAGCAAGCCTTTGGGGACATATAGAGTGGTTGACAGGTTAGTTGGTTTTTTAACTTTGAATTTGAAGTTATTCAGGGCCAAGCTTGGAGGCTTAAAGCAAGCCATAACTCCGGAATTGTCAATTGGCCCACTTTGGAGGCTTGAAGCAAAGAGCCCGAGCTTTGGAGCGTGGCAGCCATGGGTGGCCTTGGGCAAGTCCCCTGAGCCCTCTGAGCATGAGTCCTCCTCGCTCAGCTTGGAAGTCACTCACTGGGTGGTGTAGGTAAGCCAGGGAGATGATGAGCACCTGTCCAAGACTCGACCAGTAATTTTGCCTCCCTGGCCTCAATTTCTCATCTGTGAAATGGGTCCAGTATCATCACAGCTCTCGGGACTGTGGAGAGACCACACAAGTGGGTACAAGTTCCCAGCCGTACGCGCTGGATCAGTGTGCACCGTCACTGGGGTACAGTGAGCAGAAAGGCACCACCAGCGCAGTGTCAGGTACCCGGCTGGTGCTCGCTGGTTCAACAGTAGCTGCCGAGGTTATGGTTCTTGGGGTGGTGACCTCTGAGGGAAGAGAGTGCAGAGGGCTAAGGTGCTCTGGCTGAGGTGTGTTGTAGGCGAGGTCACTGTACGTGTTACAGAACGACTGCCCGGACTGCGTGTGCAAGTCTGACACATGAGTGTGCACATGCGTGCACACACACGCACGCCCATACCTGCAGGCTCACGTGGCTCCCAGGTAGGCGTGCAGCCACGGCCACACAGGCACACGGAGGCAGCGGCCACGGACACTTAGAAGGGGACCCGTAACTCACGGGCTGGTGTCCAGAGGGGCCTGACCCTGACCCTCAGTTTCAGTCCTTACCCCTGCCTCCCTGGATCCCCTAGTCCCCAGCCGTGCGCTCCTCGGCCATCAGCCCCCCGCCCCAGTACGCAGCCACAGTGTCTGTGCTGCTATCTGTTTTCCTGGGTTAGCTGAACGGTCGGGCCAGGGCCGGCGGCTGGAACGCTGCCCCCGCCTGGCCACCTCCCTCCCCCCTCCTTGCTGCTGTGCTCATGCTCCCCGGCCCCCCGCCTATCCGCTGGGCAGCTGGCGTAGTGCCCCCGCCGCCGCCACTGCTTCCTACGCTGCTACCCCCAAAGCCTGCAGAGCTCGCCTTCATCTGGGGGGACTGGGGGGGGCACATGGGGAGGGGTGTGAGATCGGAGGGCAGAGGTGTCGGGGGATGGGGGGGATGGATGGAAGGGGGAGGTGGGGACAGACGGTGTAGGGGAAGGTGGGGGGCGGGTTGCGGGAATGAGGTAGGTGGACGTGTGCAGGGCTTGAGGGGGGCGGGTGGAGCGGTGAGGTGGGGAGTTCAGAAGTGAGG